TGTGCATAAATATGTCAGCTCATAATGCTCCAAAACACCTTAATTAATCACTTTAAAAGTTATTACATCCAATATTTTGACAACTGGTAGGTAAAGAGAAGAAAACATAACCTGGGGGGTGGGAGGGCAGTTGTAAAGCAAAAATGACAGTGACTTTGAATGTGCCTTGCTCATAGCTGGTGCTTACACTATACTGTAAAGGTACATAATCTCGCAAAGGGAGACAGACAAAAGCCCATCCTGAGAGTCCAAACTAGAAGTGAAAAAAAGTGCCACAGAAACAAGCCAAGAGGGCTCACTTTGGAGGGGCCTGGGAGGTAGGAGACACCAGAGCTTTAAAGGGTTACCACTTACTTGGAAGTTTTTGCGTTTTAAGTCATCCTCAAACATGGGTTCCAGAATCACACATTAATTTTTATATCCCTTATCACAAAAGGTTATAGCTTCAGACAAAACCCCATGTGGTTTCACTTCCCTTCCTTGAGATCAGGTGACCCTCGGGATGTTCCTTTTGGGAAAAAAAATAACTCCTTACAATTGCATGTAATATCTAGCTTGGGAATTCCACTTACATTCTGACATTGTAAACTTCAGGCCTAACTCAAACTTGAAAGGGATGTGAAGACAACCATGCTCATGTCCTAAATGCCTATGGAATGGTTAAGAAATATAAACAAACATCAGACCCTACTGCCACATCCCTCAATATTAAAGGCCAACTCTAGCCTAGACATTATGCTAAGTTTTTTTCCCCCCCACATGTTATTCAGTAAATTCTCAAACCCCAAGAGGTAAGACATATTTTGCCAATTTTTAGAAACAAGGAAGTAGACTCAGAAAATCACCTCATTTGCTCAAGGAATCAGAGTCCCTTGAAATGCTAAGACAGAGGTCTCCTGAAGATAAACAATGTCAACACACCACTGACATTTCACACTGAAGGAGTGGCTATCTGAGAGGCAAAAACTTACTGAGTTAGAGTGATGCTCTTCATTAATAAATGTCATCCTACCACCTAAAGACTACTTTTATAGACTATTCTCAGCTTTCCACTTACTTCTCAATCCTCTTTTTGATTTCTGCTATAGACTCCGCCAGTCTGGATGGATTTCCACTGCCTCTCAAATGCCATGTACACTGCCCACTACCCATTTAAATTTCCAAGTTCCTTTCTAGGTCCAAGTCTTTTGAGTTCAACTCACATCCCCACTTTCTATTCCAGGAAGTTCTTCAATCTTTTTCCAGGCTAAGAGCACTCACCTCCAAGAAACCTGTTGTCTGAACCACACAACTCCATATAAGGACATTGCTCTGTTTCACATGTATATTTCTGGTATCTGTAGCCTGTAAATTCCTTGAAGGCAGGGTGTAGTACTGATTTATCCCCTTTGGATGGTAAAATATACAAAATACACTCTATAAACAAGTGTCAATGTTAGTTTGGATGCAGGCAATTAGCCTGCTCAGGAAACTATACTCTCTCATCATTTCTCATAAACTTGAGGTTACCATAATCCATTATTCCCTTCCAGTTAGAGAAAGGTCAGCTAGAGATAGACAGCAACATCAAAGCTGTTTCATTAAGCAAAGCAGCAGGCGTGCCTTCCTGATTTGTACAACTTTACTCCCTCTGGTCCTTAGATCCCTAGAAGAACATTCCATTATCATTCAAGGCTGTGGAGATTCCATCCTGTTTTTTTCTCTTGGATTAGAAATACTAGCAGCACCAAGTACTAACAAATGAGTTTTTTAACATGTGGAAAAATACATATAGCATAAAATTTACCATCTTAGCCATGTTAAAATGTACAGTTCAGTGACATTAAATATTCACACTGTTGTGCTAACATCACCAACATCCATTTCAAGAACTTTTCATCTTGTAGAACTGAAACTGTACTCATTAAACAACAGCTCCCCATTCTTCCCTCCTCCTAGTTCCTGGCAAGCCTCTATGAATTTGACTCCTCTGGGTACTTCATATGAGTGGAATTACACAATTTGTCCTTCTGGGATTGGCTTATTTTACTTAGCATAATGTCATCGAGGTTCACCCATATTGCATCATGGCCTTGTGTAAAAATTTCCTTTCTTTTTAAGGATGAATAATATTCCACTATATGTATATCCACACTTTATCTGTTGATAGACATATGGGTTGCTTCCAAATGAGGAATTATGATCCAATGCTGGTGACAAGAAGCTCAGGAGACTGGCCCTGGAATGGAGCAGTCTCTCTGATGCTGTGACCACAAAGAATCAATCCTGATTAGGACCACAGAACACAAAACTGCTAAAAGGAATTTCCATATGGTTCTCTCTCCTAGGAACTGGGGCTAGAAAGAGCTTTTGTTTAAATACTCAAATGATATGTTGGAATACAGCTGTGGCTGCCTAGGATGGTCTAAAAGCAAATCCTGAATTCACCTTAGTTTCTGCAGACCTCCCTTCTCCCCTGTTCTTTTCTTCCCCTCAGCTTTGAGACATAATTGACATATAACACTGTGCTAAGCTTAAGGTATACAACATGCTGATTTGATATGCTGCATACGTATCATATGCTGATACGATTTGATACGATTCATATGCGGGCTTCCCTGCTGGCTCAGATGGTAAAGCATCTGCCTACAATGCGGGAGACCCAGTTTCAATTCTTGGGTCGGGAAGAACTCCTAGAGAAGGAAATGGCAACCCACTCCAGTATTCCTGCCTCAAAAATCCCATGGACAGAGTAGCCTGGTAGGCTACAGTCCACGGGGTCTCAAAAAGTCAGACATGACTGAGCAAGTTCACTTTTCACACATGCTGCAATATGATTACCATTGTAGCATTAGCTAACACCTTCATTTACATCACATTCTTTTCTGCGGCAAGAACCCTTAACATATACTCTCCTAGAAATTTTCAAGTGTACAATGAACTAAAATTATAATGCTGCGCATTAGATCTCCAGAAATTATTCATCTTCTGATTTGAAGTCTGTACCCTTTGATTAACATCTCTAATTTCCCCACCCCCTGGTCTCTGGTAGCCAGCATTCTACTATTTCTTTAAGTCTGGCTTTTTAATATGCCATACATAAGTGAGATCATACAGTATTAGTCTTTCTCTGACTTATTTCATTCAGTATAATGCCCTCAAGGTCTATTCATGTTGCTGCAAAGAGCAGGATTTCGTTCCCTCTCAGGGCTGAATATCACTGTATTGTATGTGTGTTTGTGTGTGGTCACATCTTTATCCATTCATCTACTGATGGACACTTAGATTGTTTTCATATCTTGGCTATTGTGAATAATGCTGCAATCACCACTGTGGTATACATATTGCTTCAATATCCTATTTTCACTTCCTTTGAATATATACTCAGAAGTGGAACTGCTGGATCATATGACAGTTCTATTTTTAGTGTGTTGGTGGTGGTTTAGTCGTTAAGTCCTGTCTGACTCTCGCGACCCCATGGACTGTAGCCCGCCCTGCCAGGCTCCTCTGTCCATGGGATTCTCCAGGCAACAATCCTGGAGTGGGTTGCCACTTCCTTCTCCAGGAGATCTTCAGGACCCAGGGATTGAACCCAGGTCTCCTGCATCGCAGCCGGATTCTTTACCAACTGAGCTACGAGGGAAGCCTGCCCCATACTGTTCCGTAGTGGCTGTGGCAATTTGCGTTCCCACCAACACTAAACAAGGGTTCCCCCTACTCTACATTGGCACGTATTCTTGCCAGTACTTGTCATCTCTGGTCTTTCTGAGGAACAGCTATTGGAGTCGGACACGACTGAGCGACTGAACTGAACTGAACTGATTCTAACAGGGGTGAAGGAATAGTTCATTATGGTTTTGATGAGCATTTCCCTAATGATTCCTGACTGTGAGTTCATTTTCCTGAACTGCTGACCATTTTTACTTCCCCATCCACATGTTCTCTCTTGCCTACCTCTCCAGTCTCATGGCCCTCCACTTTTATCATCCTGCTGATGGTCCAGCAACACTAAACTGTTTTTAGTGTCCCTGGACACACACCACGCAGGTCCCTGACACCTGGCCTCCACTGTCAGTGGTCTCTCTGGCTGGAAAGCTTTCCTCTCTCGGCTTACTCGTAGTTATGGGCATCTCTCCAGGAGGCCTTTCTTTTTCTTCTTTGTAATCCCAGGATTTGAGTGCTTGGCATGTAATGGCTGCTTGATAAATTATTGAACTAAAGTATATTTGCTACATTCACATTCTCTTTTGAGAAGACAAGTTTAAAGAAAAATTCAAGGTCAATGGGATTACAGGTAATTTTTATTTATACTTCAATATTGTTCAAGCTTTCTAATGATGTGTTGACCTTTCAAATTTTAGAAAAATTTAAGAACACTCTGATCAAGAATAAAGTGGAGGAATCAGTGTACCAGATTTCAAGACTTATCAAAAAGCTAGAGTTATCAACAGTATGCAGTACTGCAGAAGAATAGACACATGGGAACCACGGATCAGTACAGAGAACCCAGAAACAGACCAAGACAAATATACCCAACTACTTTGTGATAAATGGAGAAGGAAATGGCAACTTGCTACCTATTCTTGCCGGAAAATCCCATGGACAGAGGAGCCTGGCAGCACAGTCTTGTCCACAAATAGTGCTGGAGCAATCAAGCATCCACTCCCAAGTAATACTGATACTATTAATATTAATAAAAACAATGAATAAAATAAAAATCTCAATCTAGGTCTCACATTTTAGATCACAATTAACTTATATCATGGACTTCAGTGAAAAATATAAAATCAAAATATTTGGAAGGAAAAACACAGAGAAAATCTCTGCAACAGAGCTAGGCAGAGGTCTTGTATTTGACCAAAATAATACAACCCATAAAAAGAAAAACTGGGCTCTTTCGCCTCAGTCTCGAGCGCTAGCTGGCAGCCAAGCCTGCGCGCTCAGGGATTAGCGGCCGCCACCGACGGTGCTTAGGCTCCTCTGGGCTCGCCTGCGCCACTCGCGCGCCACACGCTCCGCCGTCATAAGCCGCCATCATGGTGACGCTCGCAAAGGCCGGTAAAAATCAAGGCGACTCCAAGAAAATGGCTCCTCCCCAAAGGAGGTAGAAGAAGATAGTGAAGATGAGGAAATGTCAGAAGATGAAGACGATGAGAGCAGTGGAGAAGAGGTTGTTATCCCTCAGAAAAAAGGCAAGAAGGCTACCACGACTCCAGCAAAGAAGATGATGGTTTCCCCAACAAAAAAGGTTGCAGTTGCCACACCGGCAAAGAAAGCAGTTGTCACCCCTGGCAAAAAGGCAGCAGCTATGCCAGCCAAGAAGACAGTTACACCTGCCAAAGCAGTGGTAACACCTGGCAAAAAGGGAGCCACCCCAGGCAAAGCATTGGTAGCAACCTCTGGTAAGAAGGGAGCAGCTGCCTCAGGCAAGGGAGCAAAGAACGGCAAGAATGCCAAGAAGGAAGACAGTGATGAAGAAGAGGAAGATGACAGTGAAGAGGAAGACGATGAAGATGAAGAGGAGGATGAACCAGCAGTGAGGAAGGCAGCTGCTGCTTTTGGTGCTGCTCCTGCCACAGATGATGAGGATGACGAGGATGAGGATGATGATGATGAGGAGGAGGATGAGGAGGATGAGGAGGACGAAGATGACTCTGAAGAAGAACCTATGGAGATTGTACCAGCCAAAGGAAAGAAGGCTCCAGTAAAAGCTGTTCCTGTGAAGGCCAAGAGCACTGCTGAAGATGAAGATGAAGAGGATGATGATGATGAAGAGGAGGGGGAAGAGGATGACGATGATGAAGAGGAGGATGATGAGGAGGAGGAAGAAAAGGAGGAGGAGGAGGAAGAAAAGGAGGAAGAGGAAGAAGAGCCTGTCAAAGAAGCACCTGGAAAACGAAAGAAGGAAATGGTCAAACAAAAAGCAGCTCCTGAAGGCAAGAAACAAAAAGTGGAAGGCACAGAACCAACTACATCTTTCAATCTCTTTGTTGGAAACCTGAACTTCAATAAATCTGCTCCTGAATTGAAAACAGGTATCAGTGATCTTTTTGCTAAAAATGATCTTGCTGTTGTTGATGTCAGAATTGGTGTGTCTAGGAAGTTTGGCTATGTGGATTTTGAATCTGCCGAAGACCTGGAAAAAGCCTTGGAACTCACTGGTTTAAAAGTCTTTGGCAATGAAATTAAACTAGAAAAACCAAAGGGAAAAGACAGTAAGAAAGATCTAGATGCAAGAACACTTTTGGCTAAAAATCTGCCTTACAAAGTTACTCAGGATGAATTAAAAGAAGTGTTTGAAGATGCTGTGGAGATCAGATTAGTCAGCAAGGATGGAAAGAGTAAAGGGATTGCTTATATTGAATTTAAGACAGAAGCTGATGCAGAAAAAACCTTGGAAGAAAAGCAGGGAACAGAGATAGATGGGTGATCCATTTCTCTGTACTACACTGGAAAGAAAGGTCAAAGTCAAGACCATACAGGGGGAAAGAATAGCACTTGGAGTGGTGAATCAAAAACTCTGGTTTTAAGCAACCTCTCCTATAGTGCAATGGAAGAAACTCTTCAGGAAGTTTTTGAGAAGGCAACTCATATCAAGGTGCCCCAGAACCAAAATGGCAAATCTAAAGGGTATGCATTTATAGAATTTGCTTCATTTGAAGATGCTAAAGAAGCTTTAAATTCATGTAATAAAAGGGAACTTGAGGGCAGAGCCATCAGACTGGAGTTGCAAGGACCCAGGGGATCACCTAATGCAAGAAACCAGCCATCCAAAACTGTTTGTCAAAGGTCTCTATGAGGATACCACAGAAGAGACATTAAAGGAGTCGTTTGATGGCTCTATTCAAGCAAGGATAGTCACTGACCGTGAGACTGGATCCTCCAAGGGGTTTGGTTTTGTAGACTTCAATAGTGAGGAAGATGCCAAAGTTGCCAAGGAGGCCATGGAAGATGGTGAAATCGATGGAAACAAAGTCACTTTAGACTGGGCCAAACCTAAGGGTGAAGGTGGCTTTGGAGGCTGAGGTGGATTTGGTGGCAGAGGCCGGGGAGGCTTTGGAGGGCGAGGAGGCTTCCGAGGAGGCAGAGGAGGAGGAGGAGACCACAAGCCACCAGGAAAGAAGACGAAGTTTGAATAGTTTCTTCTATCCCTGTCTCTCCCTCTTCCATTTGAAAGAAAGGACTCTGGGGTTTTTACTCTGTTACCTGATCAATGACAGAGCCTTCTGAGGACATTCCAAGACAGTATACAGCCCTGTGGTCTACTTGGAAATCCGTATAGATAACATTTCAAGGGAGATAACCCTGTTGGTGTTGACTGGATATTCGTATAAACTTTTTAAAGAGATGAGTGATAGAGCTAACCCTTATCTGTAAGTTTTGAATTTATATTGTTTCTTCCCATGTACAAAACCATTTTTTTCCTACGGAGTTGGTTTTTTTTTTTTTTTTTTTTTTGCGTTGGGGGGTGTAAAGGAAAGCAGAATGTTTTATCATGATTTTTGCTTCAGCAATTTTGGGACAAATTTAAAGTCCTAGAACTCTGGTGCCAGCCTTGTTAAAAAAAAAAAAAAGAAAAATTGGTAAAAAGGGCTTCATCCAAATCAAAAACTTCTCCTCTTCGCCCTGTTTGGTAGATGAAAAGACAAGCTTCAGAGTGGGAGAAAAATATTTGCAAACCATGTACTGACAAGAACTGATAGCCTGGGCATATACAGAACTCCCAAAACTCAACAGTAGAGCTTCCCCAGTGCCTCAGTGGTAAAGAACCCACTTGCCAACTCAGGAGACACAGGTTTGACCCCACGAGCCTCAGGACAGCTGAGCCACAACTACTGAAGCCCGCGTGCTCTAGAGCCCGCGCTCCGCAGCAGGGGAAGCAGCACCACGAGAAGCCACGAGCTATAATGAAGAGCAGCCTCTGCTGCCGCAACAGAGAAAAGCTCATGCAGCAACAGACTCAGCACGGCCAGAAGTAAATAAATTAATAGTTTTAAATATATGTAAAAAATTTTTTTAACTCCACAGTAAAAAACAAAGAATCCAAATAGATAACAGACAGAAGAGTTGGAGAGGCATTTGACCAAAGAGTATATACAGGTGGCAAATAAACCTATGGAAAGATATTCAACAGCACTGGCCGTTAGAGACTGTAACCAATGGGTAAGTGGTTAAACAAATGAACTGTTTTACATCTACGCCGTGGAATATTACTCAGCAATGAAAAAGAATGGACTAACTAGTGATATGTGCAACAATGTGGATGAATCTCCAGTGAATTATGCTGAAGGAAAAAGCCAATCCTCCACAGTTATACTGTGTGAATCCGCTTATATAAAGCTCTTGAAACATTAACATGGAGAAGAAATCACAGGTTACGGATGTGGTGGGTATGGGACAGCAAAGGTAAATTTGGAAATGTGGTTGCAGTATGTGTAGACAGGTACTCCTTAAAAGCTTCGGTTTTCTTTGTGAAGGGGAAGGCAAGGTTGTCCGCTAAGACTGAAGGGATGGATTAACTTCTATTCCCAGAATCTAATCCAGTTTCTGGGACACAGATCTTTTAATAAATGAGCTTACTGAACAAACAAGAGTTTTCTTAACTCAGTTGTTCTTTAGAATCAATACACAATTTTCTCCAAGCCAGCCACTAGGGGGCAGTGCTGCTGCCTAGCTTTTCCCTTAATCTTTTAACCCAGTGAAAACAGAAAATAACTGGGCAGTATGTGTCAACATGTTTTTTTCTTCCTCAAAAAGATATAGTTTCAACTTTACATCCATGCATATGTGTGTGTTCACATGGTCATGCACACACAGACACATGTAGACTGTGGAATGATGGGAGAGCAGTCCCTTCTGCCAGCCTCTCATTGCAACCATACTGTCACCCCAGAGGCAATACTCACCATTTCCCAGAGGTCACTTTTTTGGTAATTCCTCGAGGGCACACAGCAAATAATGAACAGACCCTTTACACGTTCTTACAATTGATAACTTAGACAAGACGTTAATGAAGGAATCCCTAAAGTTAATCTTGGTAACTAACATACATGCTCCATAGCTTCAAGTTTATTTTTTTTTTTAACTCCTATACCTACCACCAACCCAAATTAAATAAAAAGTAGATTAAAAAATAATTTTAAATGGTGAATCTATTTCATAAACTTCTTTTTGCTTTGTTTCAGATTACTAACACATTCTTATAATAAAGATTTCTCAATCTATATAATATCACATGGCTAACATTTATAACAGAATAAGCAACAGTTTGGGGGGGTGTTTAGTTATGGGGCTAGAAAATTTCCTACTTTGGTTCTAGTGAACCTGGGCCTCTAATGAACAGAGGGAGCTGGCAGAGTTCTAACTTAAAACAGAAATTCTCAAAACTCCCAAAGAAAAGAAGATGCAAAGGAAAACTGTTCCCCAGGAGTTTAAGGTTACACAAACCAGCTCAGCTTCAACTAAGACAAGTGAATATCCACAGCAGGGGAGACTTCCAGTCATACCAATGGAACACATCACACGCTAGCCTAAGAAAACCTGTTACCAGTTTGGCCTTATGGTCTCCAGTATGAGGGAGATAACGAAAAGGCTGAAGTCATCTTATGACTTGAGGCTGTCAAGTACTTCAAATGAGGGGGAAAGGTGCTTGACCCCAAAGCCTCTGAACCCGGTTATTTTGAGCTAAAGTTGCTTGGAAACAAAAATACCCAAGAAATGGATCACAAGGAGAGTCTGGGTGAGAGAGTTGAAGTAGTTATCAGTCAATGTAGATAAAGTGTCAAATTGCAAAGTGTTTCAAAAACAAAGTTTCAAGGTTGTTTAGGGCAGTGTTCTAACTTGACAATTAAGTCTCATTTTTACTGGATACTTTATTCCACTAGCTGGTAAGGTAAGGTATTACACTTTGATTGATAGTCTTCTGAAGGTCTTGGGGCCGAAGATATTTTTTTGTTTTATACTCGTGAAAAGATTAATAGCAACTTACTCTTCTTACCTAATATAAAAATGCACCTTTGCTAGTGAACTGATATGGCCCTCAAGAGGAGAAAAGCTTTTCTTCACAGTTACAGTTCTTTGGCTACATGGACATCTCTGAAAATGAGCTTTAAAACTGAGATGAACACTTTATTGTCTCATCCCTACTATATTTAAAATCTGTGTCCACTTTTGAAAGTCATGTGCTAAATCCTTAGTCTTTTTTTTCCCCAGCAGATGATCTAAATAAGAGCCTGATTTCATTTACATACACACTCACTTGCACTCCCCAACAACACTTCCTTTGAAAAACAGAATGTCACTTCCTCAATCCAGAGGCCAGAAGTCCCTTGGTTCTGATCTGGGGAGCCAAGACAGGAAACTCTGGTAAGCTTTTGCCTCTCCCCCTGTGGACAGCCACGGGTGCAGCTGACAGCGGGCAGGGTCTATTCAGAGCTCCCTTGATGCACTGCAGCTGGAAGGCAAGAGCTCACTTCCATGCTGTGGGAACGATCCCAGAGTCCAGCACGGACAGGCAGTTTAACAAGGGCATTTCACAGCAAGGAAAGAGGAGAGGATGGGAGACCCGGACATCTTTTAGTGACCTTGCTTCTATTTCCAAACTCAGTCGAATAACCCAGGGCTGATTTCAGCCAAATCTCAGTCACTGGCACCATCTTGTACTTTGACCCCACCTAAGCTAGGCATCCTCTGGTGGGGGCGGAGGGGGTGGGACGAGACCCCTCACTGCTCAAACCAGGCTGCACGACCCTCCCCGGGATGTGGCGCCTCTCACTCAAAAGGGAGGGGCTGTCCCGGTAATTTCAGTAAACACTGTCGGTTAGCACCACCTGGCAACTGAGACCCTTGATTTCTCCTGACCCCAGACGCCAAGGGCTGCACAACACAAAAGCCGGGCCAGTCGTAGCAGACCAAACTGCAGTGTCACCTTCGTGGGGTGGGGGGATGCATGTGAGAGACATACAGCATAAAGGCAAAGAAGGGGGACAAACAAATGAGTCACTTAATACAAGGGCTGCACATGCTGCTGACGCTGCCCGTGATGCAGCGGCTGTGGACTGGAAGGAAGCAGGCGGCCACCGGGAGGGGCAGGCAGGGAAAGCGCGGGGGGAAAGGGTGGGAGGCGCGTCGCCCTTTGTGGGGGGCCCGGCCGCGCGGCCCCACAGCCTACGCCCCCGCTTTCCCGCCCACTCCCCGAACCCCGCAGGCTGGAGCCGCTCGGGGTCAGTACGGACCCCCCGGCCTCGGGAATCAACTCTTTTCGGTCTCCGAAAACAATCAATACAAACTTCAATACTGGGTTTAGTTTACGGGGAGGCTGGCCGGGGAGGCGCCGCAGCCTCCACCTGGCCGGCCGCCCGCCCCGCCCCTCGGCGGCGCACCTGTGACAGGTGTGCTGCAGCCGCGGGTCGCTCCCGGCGCCCCCGCCCGCGCCCCCGCGGACCCTCCCGGGGCGCCCGGCCCGTCGGCAGGCCGCGGAGCGCCCCTCGCCCCCACCCGCACTCACATAGCGCCTCAACTTCTTCTCGGGAGGCGATTTCCTCAGCCAGCCGGTGCACACCACGTCGCCGCCGCCGCCGCCGCTCATGCTGCCGGCCGCCCGGAGCCCGCCGCGGGGTCGGCGGACGAGGGCGCGGGCCGCTGCCTCAGCCGGCCGGCGGTGCGCGGCTCGCGGCGAAGGGGAGGGGCTGGGGCGGCCGGCGGCCGCGGGGCGAGGGCGAGGACGAGGCGGCGCGGCCCGGCTGCCTCGCGCGCGCCCGCGCGTTCTCCCGGCCCGGCCGCGGCGGGGGCGCCCCGGCAGGAAGGGCGGCGCGCGCTCGCCACGCCCACAGCCCGCCGCGCCCCCGGGCGGGCCGCCTGCGGAGACGCGGACACCGCCTCGCGCCCTGGGCCCAAGGCTCTCGGGGGCGCCCGCGGCTGGCCGCGCCCCCCGGGGTCTTTTTTCCGAAGCCTCCTGCAGTCAGCGGGGCAGGCGGCCGCGCCCTTGGTGGGCGTGGGGTGATGGGCAGGAACTGCGCGCCCTCGATGGTGAAGCGACCTTTCGCAGAGGGTCGTCAGCCAGGGGCCTGAGGGCTGCTCCCCTGTCCTGTCCATTCTCCCTGCGTTTCAGGTTTCAGTGGGTCAGGTTCTGGCTGAAATGAGTGATCTGCTTTCCAAGAGTTTCATTAACTCTCTCACCCCCTTGATGGGAGAAGGAAAAGAAAAAAACAGAACAGATTACTACGTGCTGGGCTGGGCGTACGTTCCTTGCTTATATGATCTTCGTGAAAGATCTCCAAACTGAGTGGGGTGTGTTATTCCCATTTCACAGATAGCCTAAGGGCCCAAAGCCCTGGCAGTGCAGTCAAGTTTCTCATTCAAGGGATGGGTCGGGGTTGGGAGTGGTACTGCTCATCTATTTAAAGTGGAGAATTGCTTTCATGTCCGCATTAATTTAGGGTCCTCTTATTATCAGAATGGAGCAGGAACTGGCAACCCCACTCCAGTATTCTTGGCTGGAGAATTTCATGGACAGAGGAGCCTGGCGGGCTACAGTCCATGGGTTTGCAAACAGTCGGATACGACTGAGCGACTAACACACTATTATCAGAAAATAAAGTTCCGCTGGCTCCCACACTGCCTCTGGGAAAAGCAATTCAGTAGAAGAAAATTCTTATGATCTGTAGAATCAAGGAGGCAAAAATGGGTCAAAAATACTATTTCATAGTGAATTGGAAGGCAAGATGGTGTAGAGTAAGAAACTGGGGTCAAAATTCTTCAGCCCTCCAACTTATTGACAAAGGTTAGGAGAAATCTCTGGAACTCATACGATGCAGATGCCTCTTACTGCGTTGTGGAAAGGTTTAACTGAGATGGAGAACTCAGAAGCACATACCTGACGAGTCCAGCATTTTGTTGGGAGGGAATAGGGCGGAAAAAAACTCAGCAAAACCGGAAACCTTTGGTTAAAGGCTCTTTTCAACTCACAAAGTACTTTTACAAGCAGCGTTAAAAGGTTAGGCTCTCCACCCCCGATCCAATTTCTTTGAAGAGTGGATAGTAACCCGTTATATCAACAGGGAACTGCTGCGGGCACTGGAGTAGAACCGGTGGCATCTTGCACTCCCTGAAGACATGAGACTAAGGCTACTTTGCTCATTGCCCTATCTCTGTGCAGCAAAGCTAGCTCTTGCAAGCTGTTGGACATACTTCTGATTTTACAGATCTTTGCTGGGTTGCGGAAAACTCAACCATTTCAGTTTGTAAAAGCTAATTCTATACTTTATGCTTAGCTCTTCTAAGCACCTGGGAAGGTTTAGCAATCAGCAACCCTGGACCCAATTTTCACTGATTTTCTTCACTATCCGGTGTGCTGCTGGATTGTATGTAAAACCAAGGCAGGCAGGCTATCTCGGGGACCAGGGCCTTTTAGCCTTTCAACAGAGGGATATTTAAGACGCATGTAAGGGCTACCACCAGAATGATGGCCATTTTAACCTCTGGCTTTAAGTACCTTCTATAAAACCCATGACATAAATATCAAAATACTCAGAGCCTGTCAAATCAGTCAGGAGGTGGTGACTCCTGACCAAAATAAAGCAATCCTCTGACTTCATTCACATCTGAGTCATGGTGCCAAGTCTCAGGGATTGCAGAGTCTGAGAAATCTGCATGCCTTGTTTGCAGCTGAGGTTTATGATGCAAGTCAGGCATACACACAGGAGGCCTTATCTTTCCTTAGAAGAGTAGTCTTCTGTTACATATCTTTTTATAATTATAGAATTCAAGACAGACTGGGAGACTGTTCAGCAACCATTAGTTGGGAGTTGGGCTACACTTGGCCAGAAACTCTTGAGGGTCTTATTTTGTTTAACTAAAGATGCCATCCGCCCATATTTTATTTACAATTTCATGTGGAAACATTTCGAGGCCAATGACAGGAGGGCCTTGAAATACAACAGAGTATCAGCTTCAGAAGTCTTCTCTGAACATACCCCTCCTCCCCCACAAGTCTGATGAAGGGGCTCTTCTTGGTGCTCCCCCACCTCCCCAACCTTTTCCTTACTCAGTTGCCGGTGCTTAGCTAGGGCCGCTCACCGGTGGAGGGACTGCTGCTGAGGTCCCTGGCTGCACCCCCATGTAGCTCTGTCTTCTGGGCCTGAGGTAGAAGCCCGGTCTAGAAACAGCCTTCGCACAGGACGTTCCTGTCCGGGCCTTTGCTAAGTCCTCTCCATTCCTTGCCTTTGTTGTTGTTGTTTTAAAATGCTCCTTGGTTTTCACTGGGGAGGAATGGAAAACAAATTATCGGAATGATTTATTTAGATGAAGATCGGCGCCATCTATTGGAACCAGTTGGGACGACAGTACCCCCTTCCCCCGAGAGGACGTGCATCACTAGTCTATAATTTAGGCAATTTTGATTAAAGACCACAGGTATTTCCTGGGGGAATTAATGGCCCGCTGCAAGGAGCGCCGTTAATTCTGTATTCATTAAATCCCCAGGAAATGGCCCGTCTTATGAGGAGGGTTTCTCTGGAGGGGCACTGCAGAGATTAGAGAAACGCACACCTGGGAGGAAGCCAGAGCACCACGTTTTGCTCCCGCCCCCCCCATCCCGAGCCTGAGTTCTAAAGGGCGCGCTCTGACTTTTTGAGTGTCGTCAGCGACAGCCTGCATCCGTGCCTGTCTGGGAGTTGAGGCTTTGTGGCCGGTGGCAGGTGCATGGCTGGTGGAACGCTCCCAGGAGCGGGCTGGAAGAAATGTCCTCAACTGCACACCAGACCGGGTGATTAATACCGCCCACGCCAAGCCTGACGTCAGTGATCGGACTGGGGGTGGGAATAGATGTTTGTGTCCTAACCCTTCTGCCTTTTCTCCCTTTCAGTTTAGTTGACAGGTTAATTTCTGCTTGCTGCTTGTCAAGGTCAGTATGACCAGCTGGGCCACCTCAGCTGGTGACTTTCAGGACACTTGTTTCTCAGGCATGTTGAGGTGGGAGCCTCTTTAAACACCCAGGTTCTTTGAGCCCACTTGCTTCCCTCCAACACAATAATCTGACCTACTCAAATCACCTTTCAGCATTTGGGTGGGACTGAGATCTGGAAGTGAGCTTGGAGTGTGGTTGAAGACCTAACTGGGTTTCCTCCCTGTTACACCCAATGGGAGACATTCTGGAAGTAAGCTTTCTTAAAAGAGAAAAGTTTGAGCAAATCATTCCCCAATTTCTCCTTTGTAAAGAATAAGAAACTGTGCTAATTGTTTTAGGGCAGTTAGGTTCCTGGAACATCTCTGCTGCCATGGTGGTGACATCACACTCCCCCCACCCAGATCAGGCTGCAAAATCAGGTACCATATTCTTGGAAGAACAAAGGCTGTCAAGGTCCCTGGGAAAGTGCCTTAGAACTCCAAACCCTACTTTGCAAGATGACCCCTTACCTCCTTCAGAGTCCTTCTACCTTGAATTAGGCCTTGAACAGATTATCTCAAGACCCCTTTCCCTAAAATTCATGTATCCGACCCCCAAAACAGTTGTTCATTCTTAAGGGTCACACTGCACCTGTATAAACTGGGTTATCACACTGTACAAGTTCCTGTTTACTTGTCAAAGAACTGGGAGTTCCCTGAAGGCTGGACTGCGTTTTCCTCATTTTTTTTTTTTTTTTGTATCCCCAGAACCTCCAAGCATGGTGCCAGGCACAAAATAGATGTTCAGTAAACGTTTGAGAATGAAGGAACCAACCCTTAAAGGATGACAAGAGCTGTGGACCCTGGGGCATCCAGAACTCTGGATCATCCACACCAGTATCTGAGAGGGTACCTGTAAGCAGTTGAAGCGCTGAAACTCAGAGAGACTGGCCTGATAGGAGGGGCTGAGCAGCTGGAGGTAATTCTTTGAAGTCTCACTCTTTAACCCTTCATTTCCAAATCTGCTGTACAGATTCCCCAGATAACCTCCTGTCTGGGACTAAGAATTAAAATCATTTGTGGTTTATCTGGTATCTGGCTTTGTTCAGACAATGCAACAGGGTGCTGTCACTTGTACACACCACATACAATACTAGCAGGGGCTGGAGGAATCATGTTCCCTGACTCAAGCCGGGTTTCATAGCACAGTGGACCAGAAATGCCTTTCTTCTGCACCAAGTGCAGGCAGAGCTGCCATGCAGATTTGTTAGTCTTTGTTTCGCTGGGGATCTAAATGCCACAGGAGATTATCTAACTAATTTCACCAGTTATACAAGATGAATGTTAGACCCATACAGCCAGTGATGGGCTGGTAAAAGTTTAAAATCTGGCTTTTTGGTAGTGTCAGTAGTAGCCTTGATTTGTAGTATGTGACAATTTTTGTGGGGCAAATATGAACCTCCCCACAATTTTCTCCCCAACTATTAATGATTTCAAGCTATCAACTTCATGTCTTCAAATAGAGTTAAAAGATGCACAGTAATACACTTTTAGTATTTCCATCAAAAAGATACAATAGACATAATGCCAAGAGCAAATAGTAAAATATATCAAAATAATTAGTAACTGATGAATTCTGGTTAGTTTTTAAATTAAGGTATCATTCACATACCAGAAGTATCATGCTTTTAACCTGTACTATTTGTTGGTTTTTAGTATATTCTCGAGTTGTGCTACCATCACTGCTATCTAACTTTAAAACATTTTCGTCACCCCCAAAGAAACTCCATGTCTATTAGCAGTCACCTCTCATTTCCCTAACAGCATTTGCTGGCAACCACTAACTTACTTTCTGTCTCTATGGATTTGCCAATTCTGAATATTTCCTATAATCGGACTCATATACCACATGGCCTTTTGTGCCTGACTTTGTACTTTGTATAACATTTTCAAGGTTCATTCTTGTTGTGACATATCAGTTTTTCTTTATTCCTCTTTATGGCTGAATAATATTTCATGGTAGCCATGTACCATGTTTTACTTATATACACTCATCAGTTAATACATATTTTAGTTGTTTCTACTTTTGGACTATTATGAGTAATGTTGCTGTGAACATTCATGTACAAGTCTTTGTGTGAATCTGTATTTTCACACTCTTCACTACACAGCTAGGAGTCAAACTGCTAAGTCACACTGTGAGCCTGTGTTTAACTTTTTACAGAACTCTTTATTGTCTCCCACAGTGGTTACACCATTTTACATTTCAGGCAGCAGTGTGTGAGGATTCCAAGCTGTCCTCATCTTCTCCAATACCTGTTATTTTCCACTTTTAATGATAATTTAATTTCAGTGTTATTCTTTAGCAATCAGCTTGCAAAATTTTCCATATTTTGACAATCCCTACTCCCAGGCTGGCATAAGCCAGCCCAGAACACCAGTACATACAGCCCTCCACAGAAAATCCTGCTGTCCTGTCTAGTCAGTTCCACTTCTTTTTGCTGATAAGAGTAATACTCAACAGATTTGGATTTCCTTCTTACATCCTTCCTATAGAAAATTGAAACAGAAAAATCTCAGGTTTTTTTTTTTTTTTTTCATTTATGGAATTAAGAAGATTTTTGAATCCGGAGAATCACAAGGTTTTCAGCTCCCACCAAGCACTCTGGGCAGAACAGAGAGTTTCCCTCCTCCATTTACGTTGAGAAACAAAAATAAAACCCAAAATGTATTTTCCTGACACCCAGATGTATCTTCTGGATGAGCTCTTGAGCAGTTGCTTCAACAGGGCAAACAGCTGTGGTCTGTTTCAACATAATTTGATGTAATCAGGGTTAATTTTGATGATGCAGTAACTCTGAAGACTGTTTTTTAACTGGATTACTGTTGGGTCAACAATCATGTGGCATTACATTTAGTGGCTGAAACAAAAGCCAGAATTAAAACAGCCTTTCCCCAAGCCCCCTTCTAAATGACAGCCCTGCTGGGATTAGAAGTTATGAGGCCCATGTAACACAATTAACTAAAAAAGAAAGTAGCTGCAGTAAAATTACATGCAAGCTTCTCCAAGGTCCAGAGGGTCCACTGAGAAAAGAGCTGGAAACTTATTTGTTGTTGTTGTTTTCTTTTCCTAGAGTGGTGAGAACATGTTGGCAGACATCATTATAACTTCATATTTGGAACCATTTCTGCAGAACAAAGTCTTTATCTTACTTTGAGGGATCTGGCTGTCAGTGTTTATGCCAGCCCAAAAGCAGGGTCTGAGCTGCTCTAGGCACACACATGCTTTATTTAGTCTCTTCCCACTTTTCAGTTTTGGCTAGTCTGAAACACAGCTAAGGCCCGTGACAAAAGCCATTCTTCAACAGTTCTGGAAAGCAGAATCTTCAAAAATAGATGTCTTGGGAAGCCGCCAAATGTGTTGGTTCTTCAAAACCTCTTTAATTTAATTTTGTAGTTCAAAAAAGATCTCATATGTATCCAATCCCCTCTGTAAATAAGTCTCCATTCATTTCTGTTTTTGTGATTTAGGGGATCAAGAAGCTTGAAAAGCAAAGAAGTCATCACCCTCCTATTGCACCTTATTTATCAGGAACTCCTCATCTAAATAATTTCCTGACCAACAAATATTCTGAAATAATATGTAAGTGTGACAAAAAGGTAATGAGACAAAGAATAACAAGATTTTTTTTTTCTCTATTAGTGTACTAGTGTCTTCTTTTAGTTGTAAAAGCAGATACCCATTTTAAGTTTGCTTATGCCCCTACAGGGAATTAACTGGTTAAAAAAAAAAAAGAAAAGGTATATCTCATGGAACCCAAGAAAAAGTTGACTGTGGCCTCAGGACGAACAGCAACCAAGGACTAAATGTAGCAAGAACAAGGCAGCCAGTTTGTATGTGTCTGTGTGTCTCTCACAGGCCATATGGGTTTTCATTTCTGAGTATTTTGCCTTTAGTTCTTTCTCCCTGCAAACTGCTTCCTCTGTCTCTTATGGTCCATGTGTGTCTTATGGCTCCTAAGTTTATGTGCTCCTGGTTCAAGCAACCAGTCCAGGCTCTCTCACCCCCAGTCTCCTTAGAGGGAAAGAGACTGGTCCACTTGGGGTCAGGTATCCACCCCTAACCCTATCAGCATGGGAAGCTCATGTCCCCCCACATCGGTGGGCCACCCACTGGCTAGCATAAGGGTGGGGGGATTCTCGGGTGAGATGGGTTCAGTAACTAACTAGATACCTTGAGAGGTGTTTAATAGAGACACAAACACCAATCTTGTTTCTTTCAGAACATATCCAGTATTTATCATCTGAAACTCAGGAAATGCTTAGGAAGGCATATATTTCTATTCAAATACAAAATATGTTTATATTCATATATATAGGTATATATAAAACTTAGGGGTTTTACATACTTGCTTGTTATTCAATTCTCAATAAAGATTTTCTGAGAATCAACTATGTATGACAAGTTCAGCATAGGAATACTGAGGTAAGATCAAGGTCTTGTTAAGAAGTTCAAGGTATTTCTGGGGAGAGAAACAGATAAGCAGGTGTCTACTGGCATGTGAGTAATGTTAGAGCATGAGAAATGATCAGCTAACTATAAGGGAACAAACAGAAAGGGCTTAGGTTTTACCTGTCTTCTGGTGCCTCACAGAGAGACACAAGAGTAGGCATCAATTAACGTTTGTTCAATTAGACGATGTAAGCAGTAGCTCCTTCAATTTTTAGACAAGAAACTTGTCTAGATTTAGAGAGCAAGGTGGAGAAAACCACTAACTGAAAACATGAGTGACTCCAAGTAGTTCATCTTAGGACTTGCTTCTGAATTCCTTCCATCAATCAAATACATTCATTCAGCAAATGTTCACCGGGCACCTGCTAGATACCAGGCTTTTGGCAAGGTGCTGACTATGAAATGATGAACCGTGTGGGGAGGCTCCTGAGAAGCCTACCAAGTCACTGGACTCTGGAAGCAGTGCTGGAGAGTCGCCCTTGGAATTCACATTCAGTAACAGATTTCAGCAACAAATTATGAGTTGAACTCAAGTTACTTCTCATTCCTGAGTTTTTGTTCTATGTTCAGGCAAGGCTGAAAAGGCTAGTTTAAAAGTTCAATTTATGAAAGATTTTAGAGACATTTAGGGGTGAAAACCAGTTTGGGAGTTATATTTTCAGGAATATTTCCTTTCTGTCTAATGGACACATTTCCCTTTTTTGGGGGGACACTTAATGCATTCAAGGGTTATTTAATGAGTACTCACTATGTTCCAGATATTCCCCAAAGCACTAGACAAAGATAAATGCCCTCTCCTCTCACGAAGCTCATGTTCTGACAGAGAAGAAAAATGACAGCATAAGACGACTGGTACTTGCATATCGTACTGAGGGAGCATAATGGAGGGAGGGAGTCTGGAAGCCACTGGCCAGCCCCTGGTATCCTGATATGCAATACTACAAATACTAACAAACGTATGAAGGTGCAGCAATCCTAGCTGCATTTTGGAGTGTCACCACTCTTGAAATAAAACCCCATGGCCTCGGAGAGTGTGGTTAGAGTTGTTAATATCTTGAATCTGGGTGACTAACAGGCGACAGGTGTGTAGCTGAGAAAGCCACCCAAGCCCGATCACAGGCGTGTGGAGGCAGGCAGCGCTCAGCCAGGGTGCAGGGCACACTCCAGCTCGACAGGCAGGACAGGACTCTGTTGAGGGCTGCCAACCCATGAGAAAAAAGTTAATCAAGAGTGAAATGACAGTCAAAATAAACACCCGAAAGTTTCCATACATATTTTTGTGGTTGTTGATCCATGAACAGCCCACTCCTACACTTTCTGAGAAACATTAACCTGATACAAGAGCCTTCCAGCACAAGTTAGTGAGTTGGGTTTTTTTCAATGAAGTTGACATGTCTGGCTGGGGGGAGGGGTGGATAAAGGAAGGGGAAGCACCTGGATGTCACTGTATTACAGGCAAAGGAGGAATCAGAGTGGGAGAGAAACACATCACAGAGAAAAACACGGGAGAGGTAGTGGAAGAGAAAGGAAGAGAGGGAGAGAGAGAGGTCAAGAGGTGCGGCAGGGTCTGGGCCACATGGGTTTCAGGGCCACATCCTTCTGTGGGCTGACTGTCCAGTCCTTGACAGAGAGGCACAGAAGCCAGCTCAAAGGTCCAGACAGAACAGTCAGATTCTTCAGTGAGCAGATCTGTGTAATTATTACTTTTTACTGTAAAAACATTAAGACCCCACTGAAGATTTCACACTAATGGTGTGATATTAAACCATCTATGTTAGAATCATCTGGGTTTCACAGGTGGCTCAGTAGTAAAGAATCCACCTGCCAATGCAGGAGATGCAAGAGGTAGCTCAGTGGTAAAGAATCTGCCTGCCTATGTAGGAGACGTGGGTTCAACCCCTGGGTTGGGAAGATCCCCTGGACAAGGATATGACAACGTACTCCAGTCTCAAACTTAAATTGAAGAAGTAGGGAAAACCATTAGGCCATTCAGATATGACCTAAATCATAAATCAAATCCCTTATGATTATACAGTGGAAGTAGATCAAGGGATTAGAGCTGATAGACAGAGTGTCTGAAGAACTATATGGATGGAGGCTCCTAATGTTGTATAGGAGGCAGTGACCAAAACCATCCCCAAGAAATGCAACAAGGCAAAATAGTTGTCTGAGGAAGCAAGAATATTAAGAGGTGGCAAGAATACACAGAAGAACTATACAAAAAAGATCTTCATGACCCAGATAACCACGATGGTGTGATCACGCACCTAGAGCCAGACATCTTGGGAGTGTGAAGTCAAGTGGCCCTGAGGAACCATCACTATGAACAAAACTAGTGGAAGTGATGGGATTCCAGCTAAGCTGTTAAAGTACTGCACTCATTATGCCAGCAAATTTGGAAAACTCAGCAGTGGCCACAGGACTGGAAAAGGTCAGTTTCCATTCCAATTCCAAGGATGGGCAATGCCAAAGAATGTTCAAACTACCACACAACTGCACTCATTTCACATGCTAGCAAGGTAGTATTCAAAATCCTTCAAGCCAGGCTTCAACAGTATGTGAACCAACTTCCAGCTGGACTAGCAAAGGCAGAGGAACCAGAGATCAAATTGCCAACATCCGCTGGATAATAGAAAAGGCAAGGGAATTGCAGAAAACATCCATTTCTGCTTCACTGACTACACTAAAGCCTTTGACTGTGTGGATCACACCCTCTTGATGAAGGTGAAAGAGGAGAGTGAAAAAGCTGGTTGAAAACTCAACATTTAAAAAAAAACTAAGATCATGGCATCTGGTCCCAGCACTTCATGGCAAATAGATGGGGAAGAAAATGGGAACAGTGACAGACTTTATTTTCTTGTGCTCCAAAATCACTGTGGACAGTTAACTGCAGCCACGAAATTAAAGATGCTTGCTCCTTGGAAGAAAAGCTGTGACAAGCTTAGACAGCATATTAAAAAGCAGAAATTTCAATTTGCTGAGAAAGGTCCATAGAGTCAAAGCTATGGTTTTTCCAGTAGTCAGGTACAGATGTGAGAGTTGGACTATAAAGAAAGCTGAGCAACTAAGAACTGATGCTTTCAAATTGTGGTGCTGGAGAAGACTCTCTGAGAGCCCCTTGGACTGCAAGGAGATCCAACCAGTCCATTTAAGACCCCACTGAAGATTTCACACTAATGGTGTGATATTAAACCATCTATGTTAGAATCATCTGGGTTTCACAGGTGGCTCAGTAGTAAAGAATCCACCTGCCAATGCAGGAGATGCAAGAGGTAGCTCAGTGGTAAAGAATCTGCCTGCCTATGTAGGAGATGTGGGTTCAACCCCTGGGTTGGGAAGATCCCCTGGACAAGGATATGACAACGTACTCCAGTCTCAAACTTAAATTGAAGAAGTAGGGAAAACCATTAGGCCATTCAGATATGACCTAAATCATAAATCAAATCCCTTATGATTATACAGTGGAAGTAGATCAAGGGATTAGAGCTGATAGACAGAGTGTCTGAAGAACTATATGGATGGAGGCTCCTAATGTTGTATAGGAGGCAGTGACCAAAACCATCCCCAAGAAATGCAACAAGGCAAAATAGTTGTCTGAGGAAGCAAGAATATTAAGAGGTGGCAAGAATACACAGAAGAACTATACAAAAAAGATCTTCATGACCCAGATAACCACGATGGTGTGATCACGCACCTAGAGCCAGACATCTTGGGAGTGTGAAGTCAAGTGGCCCTGAGGAACCATCACTATGAACAAAACTAGTGGAAGTGATGGGATTCCAGCTAAGCTGTTAAAGTACTGCACTCATTATGCCAGCAAATTTGGAAAACTCAGCAGTGGCCACAGGACTGGAAAAGGTCAGTTTCCATTCCAATTCCAAGGATGGGCAATGCCAAAGAATGTTCAAACTACCACACAACTGCACTCATTTCACATGCTAGCAAGGTAGTATTCAAAATCCTTCAAGCCAGGCTTCAACAGTATGTGAACCAACTTCCAGCTGGACTAGCAAAGGCAGAGGAACCAGAGATCAAATTGCCAACATCCGCTGGATAATAGAAAAGGCAAGGGAATTGCAGAAAACATCCATTTCTGCTTCACTGACTACACTAAAGCCTTTGACTGTGTGGATCACACCCTCTTGATGAAGGTGAAAGAGGAGAGTGAAAAAGCTGGTTGAAAACTCAACATTTAAAAAAAAACTAAGATC